AGGGCAAACATCCTACTAATGCTTCTTTCAGGAGTTTAATATTTTAGCCTAGAAGGGTAGGATTCATGCTTAGTTCAATAATGTCCTTATTAGAATGCTTGAAAAAGCTCTTCACCCAGAACTAGTCAATAAGATTCTTAGAATAATGTTAGAACTGGTCACTTACACTGAGTAGAAGACACACACTATCTCCTTTAACTAAGCTACAGTTTAGATGTATTAAGTCTGTACAGAACACTTACACATGTATCTAGCTCTAACAGTTCTGAGCCCTCAGATTAATCTACCTGTAATTTACAATCAATCAGTTCTGATAAACATTAGAGAAGCCTGAAAGTAAGGAGTATACTTTACCTACAGAAAGTCAGGGCACCAAATTAAGGACTACTTACAGAAGTAACAGTATATCTGTCAGGTCATTAGAGTAATAATGAGTGACAAGCAGGATTTATAGTAAGAAGCCTTTTCTACAAATCTGGAAGTCACCTCAAAACTCCTAGACTCTAACTACATACTCTAGGATTTTATAGAGGCTCAACAGTGAATGTAGTACTGAAGGGCTATGACTCAGATTTTTTAATAGCTACTTTTGATTCAATAGACACTGTAGGATTAGAAGTAAATAAAGTAAGAAAAGTAGAAAAAGTAGAAAAAATAAATTAACAAAATTATTTATTAGAAAGAAAAAAGTTGAAAACAAAAGTAGATAGTTCTCCTATTTCTTCTGATTCTTTTGATTCTTCTCTTCACACTTCATCTGAGTCTAAATCTGTACAATCCAACCTACTACTTCTGTGTTCTAAGATCTTAGAACATTTAGAACACTATCTAGCCCTGTTTACTACTTAGTAGTTTGTCTATAGTATTAAGTAGGGATAGTCTCAGCTGAGTTCACAGTTAAGGACATAGGTCTGTCCTTGTTGAAAGAGAGAGGTTAATAAGGAAATGTTAATGTATATACTTACTCTCTCAGACAACAAGACTGTACAAACTGTATGTTCCCTTCAGAACAAGTAGTAGTTCATCTGAGAACATTCTAGGTACTAGCTCTAGGTTCCTGTCCTCTTGGCTCCCTTCTCAGGATCC